CAGACAAATCCTAAAGGGACCGCAAAAAGGTCATGTGGTAACGTAAACAAAGCATTACACTACCCCTCTTCTTTTGAGCACGTCCTCGGCGCTCCCCTTGGTACACCTTCTGCACCAGTCATCACAACATACTCGGTACTACAAGAAAGCGCCTACGAACCAACTGCACCAGTCGACAGCCACCACGAGACTGAGAAACATTAGTTGGTCTCCTCTGCAGCCTCAACTGGGTCTGGAGTTACGTTCGATCTGACAATCAGATTCAGTGCCGCATACATCTGTTGACCATCAGTTGCTTTAAGGAATAGACGATGGAACTCCCGTATGTAAGGAGAACCGTAGTGTCATTTCCGACATCTATGCACGGATTTTGTAGGAGGGATCCTGACACGAAACTTAAGTTAAGTTGTCAATAGCTTGTCTGTGGAACACGGAAATAAGGTAGAGCCAAATGCAGAAGTCAGTCTCGACCTTTCCGTTGTAAGAAATTCAAAGACCCTGCCACCGCTGCAACTGCGTCTCTTCCACGCCGTAGGTGTATGCAACAAACGGTACGCGCTAGGATACAAGTCGTTGGAAAAACATCCGATTCGCTTTCTGCTGCCACCAGTGTAGCGATCCGAGACTCCCCACCGGGCGGAAGAAGGCAGTAAGTAGATGCACATATGTATTCCAAATAAGACTAAGCAACTGTGCCTGAGTACTACCCGAAAACCAATCCATCTTCACAGCCCACATATAAATCTCAAGAAGATCGCCAAACGTCAGGTGGTAACATAAACAAAGCATAAAATAGCTAATTATTGCATCGGTAAGGGCTTCTTTATGGTGTCTATAATAGCATCAACTAACTTTTGGTCAGAGGCTTTTATTTTTGAACAATTGCATTCGAGGTTTACATGTCAAAATTTTGAGGCTGTCATTGACCGTCGATTAGATTTTTCAGCACGGTAACAAAATCTACGATGATATTTTGGTAAAATATCACCATCTGGACCGAACATGGCTTCCTAGATGTAATATAAAGGCTTTTGGTAAGCACGCTTGAGAACCGAGAAGTTGTTCAACGTCATGTGCACGGTGGAGAAATCAGTTCGAGGATGCGTTCTCAAATTTTGTAAGTAATATTTCATCTATAATATTTGCGGAACCCCCTCTCTCGGTTGTGTACTAAGATAATACCTGTTCATCTTTTTTCCTTTTTTATTCTCTGTGCACCTACGAGTTGCTGTTGTGATTAAGTGGAAAATGG